CAACTTTCTAAGTTAACTTTCTGAGCTGAATACATCTGCAATATAGGATTTAAACATATCAGGATTTGCCCCCATCTCCTCTTTGTTTTTTAAAAAAAGAAATACTATTTAAGGACAACTTTTTCATTATATAAGCACTCCTTTGGCCTTTGTGTATCTGACATTGAAGAGGTAAAAGCATGTTTTGCTCAATGATTTTGACTATCATTTTGAGTATTTTGTCCAATCTTAATATTCCTTATTCTTTATTCTATTCCTGAAATTCTTTTGGGAAACTTTCACCAAATTCTTGCATATTCCATTTTATTTTCATATACTCATCAAAATTAATTTTTACCAATTAAGCCAACTACATTCTGTTTTTATACTTACTATGAGAACTTCATATGCCTATAAGATAATTTTCTTGCCATTATCTATTATTCATATCCAGTGGAGATTGAGTCAGGCCATGTGATTATAATTCCTTACTTCTTAACAAACTTGTTTTACTTGCTGTAAGAAAAATTATTTCCCAGTGGTACATGATGGGATGTTGCATTAGGTTTGGAAACATATTAAAGTCTCAATAGTCTCAATATGAAAAATAGAAAATTACTAGGCAGTGTGTTCCTAAGATATAATTCTAAATTTAATTTTTCAAATGTCAAAATCTGTATATAGAATATTGACACCACTCTTAGCTTCTTGATTTGTCAAAGGGTCTATTAGAACTTCAATGATGAACATTTCTCCCTTCCAGTTCCTCTCCAGAACTATGATCAAATCATTTTGCTAAATCATCATGTATTGTGCTTTCCATTTTTTATAAATTATGGATAATAACAATAGCTGATTTCACTGTATGTCATAGGTCTACTTGCAAATTTTATAGTATATTCTATTTGAAAATAATTACTCAATTTTTCCTTGTATTAAGTCAAAACTTAAAATAGCTTTTAAAAATTTGAATACACCTGCATTCTGACTTTCTTAGAGTAAATTAACATGTATTATTGAAATTCTTGACAAGACTTTTAATCATTACATTTCCCCTTTGTTTAATCCCTTACCTTAAATTTTATAGAATGATTAATATGGTTATGTATCTCAGAGTTTATATTCCAATGGAAAGGTTATAGGAACAACAGAGGGAGAAGAAAGAAAAACTAAGAGCACAATAAGGCAAATAATTCCCACTTTCCATGAGAATATTGTCTCCAAGGGCCAAGACACCAACAAACACTAAACCCCCACTGGAAAGGAGAAGCAAGAGTTTGCTCTTAAATTGACTTCAGTGCAGCCATGCCAAGGCAAATAAATCACTGCAAGTGAAATACTTTGAAAGGTAAATGGGCTTTAAAAATATTTGTGTAGTTTAAATTTTCTAGTGAGTAGTATTCATTACTGCCAGATATGATAAGGGCACATGTCCATCAGGAACTGGAGATTTCCTCCAGGTACATGACTCAATATTTTTAAACCAATGGTGAGTGCAGTGGACACCCTTGACAAATGATACTGAATGAAGAAAAATAAGCCAAGTTTAAACATGTAGTGCTCTACACAAACCAGAACTGTATTCAAGTAGAAAGGAAATCAAATCCCAAAAGTTCTTAGAGTCTTTTAATCTATACATATTTTTTATCAATAAGAATTCTGGAATGATGACCAAGCTTGAATGCCTATCTGACCAAGCAATTCAAGCCATAGGAAAAAAAAATGCAGATTGAGCTTCTACTTCCTGAGATCCCTTGTCCCTAGCCAAATTCATCCTCAAAGATGCTGTTTGACTTTGTATTATCACTGTGGTGTGACTTAACCCTCCAACCATCTATAAAGAATTTTGAGAGAAGAACAGTTACGTGGTCTCCATAGCAGTTCATTTTTTCCCCTTTTGCTTTAGAGCAATCTTTTGTAACTGAAGTAAAAAGACCTCAGTCCTCTCTCTGATTGAGGGTGAATGCAGAGTTAAACATGGAGGACAGGTTAAAAAAATAATCTAGTTGTTTTCCTAAAATTTCACTGGACTTAAGTCTTTGATCACAAATCACCAAGGGCCTCTTTCAGTTTATAAGCAGAAGGTCACTGAACATTTATCAGGTCACCCAAGCCTTGGTCAACCAGAAAGACATTTCCTATGGAAGGGAAGGGATTTATTCAGACACCTAGGTTGTATTATGGGAATGTAAACCCCAAATCCCAAATTAATGGGATAGCAGCATTGGAAAATTGAACAGATTACATATGGTAAGAAGCAACCAGACTAAAGGTAAGTAGAAGAGCAAAGGACATGAAGTTGCAGCTGGTGTGGGTTGATCAGTCTGCCCACATTCCAGAAGTGGGTGTGGCTCTGCCTCCGCCCCCATGGAATGACTTGTACTGCTTTGGTCTAGCGGGTCTAGACCTGCACAGGACAAACTTTTCAGTACTGCCCGCAGGATATATGAAACCACAGTCACCCTACACCCAAAAGGGAAAATGACCCTCAGCAGGCCCCTCTTCTCCAAGTTTATTTTTATAGACCTCCAGAGAGATTCAGAAAGTACAGTACTGGAATAATCTAATACCATTGAGATTGCTAAATAATAACTTGGCTGAGAACAGAGAAAGGTGAGATGGCCAAATTGATATCTTCTTCTAGGTTCACACTGGTCTTGGGAAATGCAATGAATCCAAAATGACTGTTCTGCAAAACTACTTTTGAAGTGGAACTATTTCTTCTAGCTTTGAAGAACGCCATTATCCATGATTGCTTCACTAGTAATAGCTAATAAAAAGAGCTAACTCCTTGCACGCTCACCATCAGCTGGCACTATTCTATGAGCTTTCCATGTATTTATTTACTTAAACCTCAGAATAACCCCAATCATTCTGATCTCATTAATAAAGAAATGGAAACCTAGAGAAGTTAAGTAACCTTCCCAAAGTTATTCAGCAAATAATGTCCGAGCTGGAGTTCAACACCAAGTGCAATGATTACACATCCCCATTTCACCATCTCCTTATCTCTTCTCATTCCTGAACACTTGGAAGAGCGCCTGTGACCAACCACAGAGAGCATGGCGAGGGCACTTGTGGTGTCCGTGTGAGGCAGTGACACACTGGGAGGACAGTGCTCCCGGCCTGGCTTCTCAGAGACCCCCTCGCTAGTTTCAGGTCATCTCTGCTGGCTGCCCTGCTCTATATAGATTCTCTGTTGAAAGACAATTCAAGATTATAGATATCACCCGGGCAACACAGTGTGAGCAAACTTCAAATGGAGCCTAGATTATAAAAAGAAAACCAGAAAGAACAGAGACCTGGCTGGATATAATGTTCCTTGTACCACACCCCGGGCAATTAGGAACATCATATCCCACCGGAGATTTAGTTCATGAAAGTTCACAATTTGTATGTTACGTCTTAAACATTAAAATGAGTCGTCCCCGCCTCCCCATTTAATTTGTTTCTTTGGTACTGGGCTTTTTGAAGTTGAAATAAAAGATAGGAGACACATTAAAAAATGATGCTAGAAAACACTGAATCAAAGAGTTTCATTCCTTTTTTTTTCCTTCTAATTTGCCTAGCCTTTAAACACAGATATTTTTCCCTTGAGTACATTGACAGTCATTGAGGTGACTAACATACTCAGTATATCTTAGTGAAAAGCTATTTTTAAAATTACTTGATTTAGAAAACTCCAATCATGATAATTTCATGGGACTTCTTAGTATACAAATTAAAAGTTTTAAATTACTCTGCCAGCATTTGTGAATTGAAATAATCTTAATTAGAAAATACCTGCATTGATGCATATTTATCAGGTGTCTTTAATATCTGCCCTGATTCAAATTTTGAGGGTTGTTTTACAAGTTATAATTCCTGTGGTCAGTAAGGGCAGTACTGATGCCACATGAGACCAGCAATCAGAGGTGTCAATTTAGTCTTTCCCAACTCTGCCACTTTCTCTCTCTGGATCTGAGAATGGCATGTACCTTCTTTTAGCTTCTTTCCTTAGGTAAAAGCATTGTTTCATGGATCAAATGAAACAAGGCACTTCAGAGTTTAGTAAGCAAAGGCACTACAACATGGTCTTAAAATTGTAAACCAAATGTAGGGGGTGGCAGTCCCAAGCAGGAAATTGCAGATGAAGCTGACTGTGCCCTTTGTCACTCTCCTGGACCTGGATGAGTCCTACTAGAGTTCTCACATTTGAGAAATGAGAATAAGTACCCCACAAGGATGATATGGGGATTACAAATAACATCTGGACAGCCTCCAGTAAAGCAGGCACACAGTAGGTGCTCAAGAAATGGCACCCATTTTACATTAAAGAATTCATCTGATGAAGCCAAGTGTGCTAGTGTTCCAACACTCATTCTCACAACAGCTGACCACTGTTTCTGCTCGGAACAGTACATCCATTAGAAGAGTCCCAAACAGGCCTCTGCCATGGCCAGCGTCCTGGGTGTATCCCATTTTAGACCCTGGTGGGTTAAAGCTACCTTGCTGCATTCACATTTCCGGCCTTAGAACATTACTTCACAGAACCTACTAATGGACCCTCAATTTCATAAAACTAATACTACCTAAATGTGTCAACTCCAAGTACAGGCTGTTGTCCAACCTGCTTTTAATATATGAACTTACTTAGGGTTTCGCTCATTTAGGGGCAAGGATGGAGCCAGGAGAAAGGGATCAGAACAAGCCCAAGTGAACCTGCAGTTGTCACTGAGGCTGTTCAGTGTGACCACCTCGAGCAGCCTTTGAGAGCCGAGATCCCTCCCTGGCTCCAGCGCTTTAGTCAGGGCCGCTGGAGGCCCAGGAGCAGAAGGCCGAAGGGCACAGTCCTGCCGCGTGCAGCCTCGCCCTCCCCCGCCCCCCGGGGACCCAGTGTGCCCCCACGGTCACGAGCAGAGCGAGTTAGAGGCGTGGAGCTGGAAGGGCGCATGCATGTGGGTTAGTCTCAACTGGACCATGCGGCGGCTTTGCATTCCCGTTTGGCAAGCGCACTTAGGCAAAACAGACTTGATGCTTACAATGATCCCAGCCCAAAATGGAGTGTCTCTGACTAGCAGGGAGGAGCTGACGCTGGCCATGAGGAAGCCCACCACGGTCACGGCGATGCCCAGGGCCAGCTGCAGTAGGGCGAGCAGCAGCGGGAACCGGCAGCCGCAGCACGTCCGGGCCTCCTCCTCCCCGCACGCCTTGAGGGCCCCTTTGCCCTTCTTCGGCCCCGCGTCGTCGGGCCCGGCGGCGTCCGCGGCCGGCGGCCCCCCCTGCCTCTGCGGGCCGCGGGGCTGCTTGTCGTCGCCCATGGTGGCCGGGCGGCGGGGTGGCCGGCGGGCTCTGCGCGGCTCCCTGGGCCCTGGAGCGCGGCGCTGGGCGGGCTGAGCCTGCCCTGGTATTCGGATTACGGAGGCTGAACAAATATGGAAAACATTGGGAGTTGACTGCCGGCCTCCGAGGCCACAGGAGTCCGCGGCGGAGGGGGATGCCAGGGGGGTCGCCAACTGCCAACACGCGGGGACGCAGCGCCCGCCGGTTCCCCACCGCGGGTCCCGGGCCCCCAAAGCACGAGCGCTCTGCACGGGCGTGTGTGCGTGTGCGCACCTGGTGTCTATTAAACCCCTCTCTTAAAACCCCAGAATGTTGTTGTTGTTGTTGTTTTCTGGGAGGTGCAATGCAAGGTGATGAATGTTTAAACCATGTGAGTTTAATTAACAGACAATTAATTTAATCCCAAATAGGATTTGCCAGGCTCCATGCTGTGAAGTCATTTCCAGAAGTTAAATTGTTCTAATTTTCCAGCGGAGGCATAGACTCTTCCAAGTTCTGCAAGCCCAATGACAAATAAGGCATTTCTCCCATTGAGATGTTTGCTTTTAAAGTAACAGTTTATAGAGGTGCTGGTGAGCTCTTTCACATGTATTTGTTTTTGAAAGCGCTTTTAATCCTCCCCCCCCCCCAGTAATATATATGGTTTCTCCAGCCAGTGTGTCCCTTGAGTGTTTAGGGGGTTGTCATTATGGACGTTTTTACCCAGGGACTTATTTTTAAGACATCTACAATGTGCTGGAAGGGTACTCAAGATAGAGACAAACCTGTTCCTCACCCAAAGTCACGAAGCAGATCAGCTAAGCCGGTCATGGTTATTCTTACACAGCTCTATTCAGTATTACTTAGAGTAAATTTCAGTGAAACCATTAGGAGATGATCCTGTCAGACTGAGGTATTTAAACCTCCTTTGATATGGTCATTTTACCATTGAGAAAACTATATTGAAAAATAAATGAGGTTGCCAAAGTGCGAGGGTAAATTAAGCAAACTTGTAGGTTGTTTGCATCAGTGTACTTAAAGAAAGTCTAATTTTCCACTGATTCCTCAGAATTATAGGCTAATCATCATCAGCTCTCCTTATAACTTGCCAAGTCCTCACAAAGGTACCTTTGAAGACAATATATTCTTCACCTTACGTATTTCATAATTTTAGTACTCTCCTGATACTTTCCTTCTGGACAAGAGAGAAAAATATAGCCCATGGACACGGTAATTTAGAAAGTACAATACAGCCGGGTGTGGTGGCTTATGCCTGTAATCCTACCTAACTGGGAGGCTGAGGCAGGAGGATGGCAAGTTCAACTTGATTGGCTTGAGAGCTGCCCAGGGGAGAAGGAAAGCACAATGGGGTCTGGGTGGGTCAAGGAGGTGTGGCTTTGGGTGCTGTGTACAGTTCTTGGCCCCTTCCTCTGGGGTACTCTTTCCCCACTCTGCCTCGTGCCTGCCAAGAACTAAGGGATTTTACTCTGCTACACCCTTCTGCCAGGATGTTTTTGCCTTGGAGCCAGCTGACCAGGGTATAAATCCTCTGAAACCATGAGCCAAAGAAACTTTTCCTCCTTTAAGTTTGGAGAATCAGGTAATTTATCCTAGCAATAGGAAAGCTGATTAATGTACTTGCAGATTAGATTTGTCTTTCAAGTTTCAGAACTAGTGTGGTTACAATTAACACATACTGTGCCTGTTACCGATGACAATAGCTTCCAAGACCCTGTGGATACCCAGACCCAAATACACTACATTTTTTCATATGCATTACTGTGATAAAGTTTAATTTATAAATTAAGCACAGTATGAAGTCAACAACAATTAATGATAAAATAGAGCAAATATAATGATATACTGTAATAACAGTTACTTAAACTTATGAATTGTTTATTTCTGGAATTTTCTATTTCATGTTGTCAGAAAAGCAAAATTACAGATTGGGGGAACAACTGCATATTTTATTAATAAAGGCTTACTTTTAATTGCCCAGCTAAAGAACAGTTACAAATGCAACCAGTAGCAGTGAACAACACCCCAGATAAATTGTGATCCTGCTAGTCTGATTACAACCGCCTAGTTCGATTTTTGGCTTCCAGTAAAGCAGGTAGTAGTGTAGGGAACCTCACACCTGATTATATTTCTAACAGCACTGGTGCATCTGTGTGTGAGAGGGCCTGGTCTTTGACAAAATCAGGAGATCATAGTGATAAGGATGGTATTTTCACTTAAATGACACAGGAAAGTTGAAACAAAGAAGAAAGAGAGAAAAGTTGTCAAATACTTAGTGAATGCAATCAAGGCTGAAGTGAGATTATATTGTCACCAAAAACACAGTAAGAAAATTTTTCCTTTAACGTGTCTTTTTCCACTGACAAAAATATCACCATTTTAGCAGAAGTGAACAAGTTTAGCAGAAACCAACAAGGATGTTTTTAGTATTCATAAATTATGATGCCACTATTTTATAGTTTCAGCAGTAACTTCAGATATTTATATTATCAGAAAGAAAAGCAAAGTAGAAACAAAGTGTTTTCAGATGCTCTTGGATGCTCTTGTAACTCAAAACTGACAGAGATTGTAAATTAGAAATTGGAGGAGAGTAGTTAATATATGTTTTGTGATTATTTAGATCCTCTGGGGAAAAAACAAAATCAAGCTTAGTGTCTCTATCTTTACAGTCTATCTGAAACTTAGCATTATTTTGAAGTATTTATGTTTCAGAGGTTCAGAACAGGGAAAATGATAACTTTTTCAAAGTACAATCATTGACAAAATGTCTTCAGGAAACCCAACTAGAAATAATCTCTACACCAATATACTTCAGAAAACAGTCTTAGATTAGCCAAGAACAAAAAAAGATTTGACAGAGAAATTATTACAATTCCAAGGTTTACATCAAGTCTTGTAATATGTAATTACATATCTCAAAAACATTCCATTAGATTTGCTATAAAGGAGTATCAAATACTCTGCAGAAAACAACTAGGACCTTATTTGTCCTAAGGAGCACTGTTGTCCCCAATTGGCTAAGGAGCCTCCTTACCTAAAATGACTCCAGGGATATTGCTGATCTGCGTGTGTGTGTGTGTGTGTGTGTGTGTGTGCATGTGTATTGGTGTGTATAGAAAAACTTTTTAACTTTTCCATTTTATTTCTATGTCATTAATTTCAAATGTGTCTTTTGCCCTGATTTTTTTCTCAAAAGAATTAACCCATTTATAACTTTTGCATGGCAGTTTGTAGTTTTGAATTACATCATATAAGTAATGTTCTCCTAATGGTCAACAGAGGGCTTGTGACTTTTTCATTCTACACAAACTCTATAAAGATTATAACTAGCAAATTGTTTTATTATACATTTTACCTACTTACAAAAAAATACTTTGTATTTTTATGAAAATTTTTAACATGTAATTTTGATATTTCCACTCCATTTGATGAAGTAGAAATAACTAAATTTATTTTAATTAAGAAATACCAGGAGACTAGATAAATAAATTATACTATATTTTATAGTCAAATACTATTCCCAATAGAAAAAGAATGAACTATTAGTCATCAAACAATGACTTGGATGAATCTCACTGTGTGTTAAGGTGAAAGAAACTACATGTAAATACGGCATAAATTCCATTGACATACAAATTTTTTTTTAAGTCAAAAGTAGTCACTAAAAATGTGATTGTGGAAATGGGATGAAAGAATTCACCAGGAAGTTCCAGAAGGGACTGTCTAGGCAATGGAAGTAAGTCCACTTCCATTACACATGGGTGTAAACAGTTGTCAAAACTAATTGAACACTTAAGCTCTGTGCATATTATAATAGGTAATGACATCTCAGTTTTTAAAAATGTAATAAAAAGAAAAATGCAGGGAATCACTGGATATCTGCCAGTAATTAACAACATAACAAGTAGGATTTTAGAGTGTTTTGTTTTTGTTTTTGTAAATTTATATCATACCAGACTCTCCCAATTTCTCTTTTCCCTGTGTGACCTGTATTAATTATGTATTGCTGCTTAATAAGCTACCATAAAACTTGGTAATTTGATAAATGTATAAAAAATGTTCAACATCACCGGTCATTCAAGAGATGCAAATGAAAACAACACTGGGATTCCACCTCACCCCGGAAAGAATGGCTACTATCAAGAACTCAACCAATAACAAATGCTGGTGGGGTGTGGGGAGAAAGGAACCCTTCTCCATTGTTGGTAGGAATGCAGACTGGTGCAACCACTGTGGAAATCAGTGTGGAGATACCTCAAAGAACTAGGGCTAGAGGTCCTATTTGACCCAGCTATTCCCCTGCTGGGTATCTTCCCCAAAGAATTAAAAGAATCATACCACAGTGATATATGTGCACCCATATTTATAGCAGCACAGTTTGTAAGAGCTAAAACTTGGAAACAGCCCAAGTGTCCATCAAGTGGAAACTGGATAAAGAAGATGTGGTTCTTTTATACAATGGAGTACTACTCAGCCATAAAGAACAAGAAACTAGAGACATTTATAGCTAAATGGATGCATATTGAAGCCATACTCTTAAGTGAAATAAATAGGACACACATGTGTAAATACCGAATCATTTCTCTAGTGCGAGAAACTGAAAATATAAATAAGGATTAAAATGTTTAAAATGAGTAATTGATAATTTGAAATAGGAAATAAAGGTCCAAAGGGGTAGGGGTGGTGGGAGGGAAAGGGGAAAGGAAAGAAGGGAAAGGAAAAATTATGAAAAAAGAAAAAAATGGAAACAAAGTATGTAAATAGGGAAGGGTGGAGGGGGTGAAGGGTGCACAGGTAATAGGAAAAAAATAAGAACCAAGATACATCATGGACAGGTACAAGCACCCAATGATAAATGTAAACATATTGTTTACCTAAAATGTACCAATAAAAGAACTTAAGAAAAGAAAAACTTGGTAATTCGAAATAATAATAATTATTATTATTTATCGTTTCATGGTTTCTGTGGGTCAAATATTCAAACAGGGCACGGCAGGGACAGTTTGTTTCCTTCTGTTACCTGGAAGCCTGGAATTGACTGAAGTCTTCACTGGGGCAGGAGGCTCTGTTTTCAAGGTGGCTCACTCACCTGGCTGGCAAGCTGTACCTATCCATCCTCCAGCATAGTGGCTGGCTTCAGTGGAAGTAGAGATTCAAAGACTGAGATTAAAAGTCATCTTTTGCTTGATGTAGCCTCAGGAGTCATTTGGCAATGCTTGAACCAAATTCTAATCTTTAGTAATAATTCACTAAGATTAATTCTAGCTCAAAATCAATGAGAAAAGAATTAAGATCTAGATTTTG